CGCCTGTGGAGAAATGACCCGGTGGCGTACCCAACCCTCTCTAACCATATGGCGAATATACGAATATATATATATATATATATATATATATGTATATATATAAATTACATATGCGAGGAAGGTTGGAGAGCACAAGGTTCTATTCAAGACGGGAACCCAACGCCAGAAGGCTGGCGATCCTCACCGTCGGGGCGTCCCCCAGCGAGCCGCGCCCCGACGGCGGGCAGGTCCGCGCCGTCAGGATCCGGCGGCAGACGTGCCAGAAACGTGCTCGCTTCTGCATCTGGCCTCCCGCCGCACTGACCACATGTGCCGCCCGTTCCAGGTCTTGGAAAGGGCGTGCGCCGACGCGAGGCCCAGCGCACTCAAGAAAATCTGTCCGACCCCATTAGGGCCAACACCAAAGGTCACTCTGGCCAAGGGTCACGTGTAGCCGACAAGAGCCTCTCGGGCCCCCCCCCGGCGTGCGATGAGCATCGCGAAAGATCGCAAACGGAGCCCCAGGCCGCGGACAGCGACAGCGGACGTCTCCCAGGGAGACGAGGCGGCCAGCAGGCCCTTTCGCCGTGCGACCATGGGCTTTGTAAGAAGCGTTCCACCCGACCCCATAGATAGCTCCCTGCTTCCCTTCCTGGAGAATAGGCCAGAGGCGAGTTGCTCTTGCCGAGCTCGGAATTATCCGGGGCTCGCGTTCAAGATACATCGACTACGAAAGATATGCGCGGACACCGTGAAGGATTGGTTTTCGCGTAAGCGCTCCGCAAAAACATGGCCGCAGGATATGAGAGCGAGAACCCTGCGCGCGAGCGGGGATACATCGGAATCGTAATCCATGCTCGACATCATGCCTCTCGCGCGCACATGCCATGTATTGGAAACAACACTGTAATTGATGCAACCCATGCCTGCTGTTCAAAAGCAAAGGATGGTCCCAATACTATGCCTCCGTGGAGCTAGCTCAATTTGCGTGGCTCCGAAGCTGGACCGCGGAAGTCGCCGCGACAAAACGCCTTTAGATACAGCGTCGGGGAATTCAGCTTGGGCACTGGGCTTGGCGTGCGTGCTGTCAGGACGTGCTTCCAGAGCAGAGGCCCTCCTTTGCATTGAGCTGCTCTGCGTTACTCCCAGGTAGACGGAAAGGGCAGGCGTGGCAAAAGTTACACCCTGCACCTTTGGAGCACTTGCCGTTCCTGCGATCGGGGTACTTGCACGGTACGCAGCGTTTGTTCTGGCCAGCAAATGTGCCAAACTGTGACGTCATGCATTCTGGTCTACAGTCCGGGCATTTCACATATTGCCCGCGTACTTCGAACGGAGTCTGAGATGTCGAACACCAGCCTTTGCCACGAAAACTCAAATCCTTGAAATAGGCAGGCACTGCATCGCAATACATGTTTCCACAGAAAGTGTGTCCACAAGAATCCGCCGGCCCCCTTGTGGGGCCACCAGGCTGTAGGCCGAAGCTTTGCAGTTTCCTGTACCAGTTGCAGCTTCCAGTTTCCACTGTTACAGTTCTGCTCCTTGCTGCTTATTGTTCCTGGTTGATGGACCGCGCGAGGGGGGGAGGCCCAAAGGGGAAGGGTTTAGCACGCCCTGAGCGTGCGCTCTGAATTGCTGGGTGGGTAAAAATTTACACCCCTCACGCAGATCGCCGGGGTCGGGGTCCAAAAGCACATGGGATTTGCCACATTTCTGAAATTCGGTGGCACCCCTCACGCAGATCGGCGGGGTCAGGGTCCAAAACACACATGGGATTTGCCACATTTCTGAAATTCGGTGGCACCCCTCATGCAGATCGGCGGGGTCAGGATCCAAAAATTATCCTGGCGACGGACCCAACCATGTGCAGTCGTGAGTACCGCAATTGTGACTATTTTCTTCGGTGAAGCTCCCTATGGGGCCACGAAACGTATGAGGGGTGCGCCACATTTGGTTTCCAGGACGCATGCGGACGGTCCCACTGGGGGCTTCGGTGGAGCTCCCTATGGGGCCACGAAGCGCTGCGCTGGGTGGGGGGGGACGCATGCGGGCGGTAGCACTGGGGCCGTCGGGCGAACTCCGGCCACGAAACGCCGTACTGGGTGGGGTGAAAATGCCAAATTTGGTGTGTGGGACGCATGCGGGCGGTCCCAGTGGTGGCTTCGGTGGAGCTCCCTATGGGGCCACGAAACGTATGAGGGGTGTGCCACATTTGGCTTCCAGGACGCATGCGGACGGTCCCACTGGGGGCTTCGGTGGAGCTCCCTATGGGGCCACGAAGCGCTGCACTGGGTGGAGGGGAACGCATGCGGGCGGTAGAGCTGGGGCCGTCGGGCGAACTCCCTATGGGGCCACGAAACGCCGTACTGGGTGGGGAGAAAATGCAAAACCTGGTGTGTGGGACGCACGCGGGCGGTCCCAGTGGTGGCTTCGGTGGAGCTCCCTATGGGGCCACGAAACTTATGAGGGGTGTGCCAAATTTGGTTTCCGGGACGCATGCGGACAGTCCCACTGGAGGCTTCGGCGGAGCTCCCTATGGGACCACGAAGCGTTGTACTGGGTGGGTGAAAATGCCAAATTGGGCTTCCGAGACGCATGCGGACGGTCCCACTGGGGGCGTCGGTGGAGCTCTCTACGGGGTCACGAAACGCCGTAGTGGGTGGTGTGAAAATACAATGATTGTGTTTCAGGGACGCACGCGGACAGTCCCACTGGGGGCTTCGGTGGGGCTCTCTATGGGGCCACGGAACGCCGTACTGCGCGGGATGAAACTGCCAAATTAAATTTCCGGGACGCATGCGGACAGTCCCAGGGGCTTCGGTGGGGCTCCCTCGGGGGCCACGAAACGCTGTACAGGGTGGGGGGGACGCATGCAGACGGTAGCACTGGGAGCTTCGGTGGGGCTCCCTATGGGGCCACGAAACGCTGTACTGGGTGTGGGGGACGCATGCTAACGGTAGCACTGGGACCTTCGGCGGGGCTCCCTGCGGGGCCACGGAACGCTGTACTGGGCGTGGGGGACGCATGCGGACGGTAGCACTGGGACCTTCGGTGGGGCTCCCTCTGGGGCCACGAAACGCTTTACTGGGTGGGGGGGGCGCATGCGGACGGTAGCACTCGGACCTTCGGTGGGGCTCCCTCTGGGGCCACGAAGCGCTGTACTGGGTGGGGGGGACGCATGCGGACGGTAGCACTGGGACTTTCGGTGGGGCTCCCTCGGGGGCCACGAAACGCTGTACTGGGTGGGGGACGCATGCGGACGGTAGCACTGGAACGTTCGGTGGGGCCCCTTATGGGGCCACGAAACGCTTGTACTGGGGGCGGGGGGGGGGGGGGGGGACGCATGCGGACGGTAGCACTGGGGACCTTCGGTGGGGCTCCCTCTGGGGCCACGGAACGCTGTACTGGGTGGGGGGGACGCATGCGGACGGTAGCACTGGGACCTTCGGTGGGGCACCTTCTCGGGCCACGAAACGCTGTACTGGGTGGGGGGGACGCATGCGGACGGTAGCACTCGGACCTTCGGTGGGGCTCCCTCTGGGGCCACGAAACGCTGTACTGGGTGGGGGGGCGCATGCGGACGGTAGCACTGGGAACTTCGGTGGGGCTCCTGATGGGGCCACGAAGCGTGTGACGGGTATAATGAAACGGGTGATGATGATCATGATGATGATGATGATGATGATGGTGATGATGATGATGATGATGACGATGATGATGATGATGATGATGATGATGATGATGATGATGATGATGATCACCGAATGCTCCACTGCACGAGGTCTTCACCGAAAGCCACGATTGGAAAATAACCGGCAATAATAAGTTGAAGACGGGAGGCGCACACAGAAAAAAAGCAGCCGGAGCACGAGGAAAGCAGCAGGGCGAGAGAGAGAGAGAGAAAGACAGAAGAAAGACAAGAAGACGGAAGACAACAGAGAAGCAGAAGGAAGAACGCAACACGACAGAGACACAGAGAATGAGCAGTGAAACGGAAGTGGCGCATCACGACTGTGATGCAGGAAGCAGAATGAATCACGACTGAGACGCACCCCGCACCTACCTGAGCATTTCGTGAATGAAGTGCCGAACCCGAGAATCCAAGCGAGCAGTTGCGCGGAGTCTCGAGCGGAAGTGAGAAATCCACTGGGCGGTAGGGCACACCGCCTGGGACGTTCTAGCGTATTGAAACACCCCCCAAACCGCCTCGTTGACCAAGGCTGCTTGCATCAAACTATTTAGGGTGTGATTGGGGTGCACAGCAAGCCACCACTTCTTCACAAACATGGGCGGGCCGTCTGGAGCCCACTGGAAGAGCGCTAATTCGCTGACAAAGCTCAAGACAGTGGGGCATTCAAGATAGTGCTGTAGTTTGTCACCGCCTACACTGCCGCATAATCTACATGCCAAGACGTTCTGGGAAAACCGCGCGGACGTATGCCAGCCGTTACAAATTGTGCCAATTAAATGAAAGACAATCCCGGGCTTAACTTTTCGGCTGAGAATCCGGAGGCGGGCGACCACGAGGGCGGGGGCAGAGGGGGAAGGGGCAGGGGCCAGGGACCAATTCACAAGCCTGGCAGCGATCATTTCACGAAGACTGCTGTCTGGGGCCTGTCGCTGGATCCTGTGCAGCTGCTTGGAAGACGGTTCGGGTATCATCCTAAACTGGGGTATCGAATTCAGCGAGTCGCGAACCGCTCTCGCTTGGTAAATGGCAGAAGACTGAATCCAACGCATGCGAGCCGGCCAAAGAACCCGCTCGTCATCGAGCCAGATGCGGTCAATCTCACGACATACAGTCCGAAACACATCGGCGTCCGAATTACGAAATATAGCAGCGCGCGAAAGAAGCTCAAGGCGAGGTAACTCAGGGAGCCCAAAACCGCTCAGAGCCGACGTCGCACGAGGAGAGATCGCATGCCGAGGCAAGCCAGACAACACTTGCCCAGCTCTAGAAAAAAGTCTTCAAAGCGGCAGGGGAAGGGACGTAGAAAGAGCTAACAAATCTGAGAATCCGCGTTCCGTAGCAATTCAAATTTCGCATGGCCTTGCAAAAGCCGCCCCTCACTTGCTTGAGCGGGGCGATCGTCTCCCAGAACTTGGCCGCAGGCTTCAACCAGCTCAGCGCGCGGCCGTTGCCCCCCAGCGTGACGCCGAGCAGCGCTCCAGAGAGCGAAACCTTGGCTGAGGCAAAATATCCCACTTCAGCGGCGATGCGGGGCCGCACTGCATCCAGGCTGAGACTGCCCAACCAAACGATTACAGCCTTGCCGGGGTGGATCCACAGACTGGCAGCAGCTCCCATCAGCTGCAGAGCAGGAACCAGCAGCGCGAGATGGGAGAAGAGATCGCGAAGCCCCATTGCAAGATCGTCGGCGTAAGATATAATCAGGCAAAGATGCGGGTCAAGGAGGTGGTGGTAGAGGCGGACAAACGGGTCGAAGACGATGGCAAGTAGTGAACCAGACGCGGGGCAGCCCTGGCGCACCCCACGTAAAATCAGGAACCACCTCCCACGTGAGCCACCCAGACGAAAGTGAGCACGGCAGTCCTGATGGAGTTCCCGCCAAACCTGGATTATAAAACCAGGAAATCCAGCCGTCTCCAAAACAAAGAAGATCCAAGACCAAATCAGGCTCGGAAAAGCAGCCTTGATGTCGAACATCGCGAGGGCCGGGTGCAAGACGCCCAGGATACAGCAGATGATCCCAGAGCCCTCAATCTCGTAAATGTTGTCCTGCATCTTTCGGCCACCCAAGAAGCCCCGGGAGGATGGGTGGACTGTGTCGCGTGCAGAGCATGCCAAAAACAAGTTCGCTGCGCAGGCAATCGCCTTGTTATCTATATTGCAAAGGTTGGGTGGGCGAGTCTCGCTCGGAAACCTCCGAACCATAGCCAGATCCTCAGACTTGTCCCCCTTGGGAAGAGCGGCGATCCAACCGGCATTGAAGTCCGGGGCGGCGTTGGGAGTCTCGGCCAACATTGAGAACAGGTCGTGCAAGAAGGCATGGGCCGTGCAACCGGCGTTGGCCCATGCATCCCAAGTAGTACCATCGATTCCCGGGGCAGACGGGCTCTTACGAGCAAGCATCGTCGCAAACCAGTCCGTGTCAACAACAATACCGTCAACTTTAGTAGAGCAAGGCATGATGAATCTGCGGACCTGCGCCATAGCTGAAGGGTCAGGATCGACGGGGCTGAACACCTCCTCCCAGAAGTCAATGAAATTCTCCAGGGACTCGTCCATCGAAGACGGAGGTGTTCCATCGGGACCTACCACTGCCTGCAAACAAGACCGGGGACGGTGGGGTCGCCATAGAGACCGTCTGAACTGGATAGCCGCCCAGCGAACTTGCTGGGAGGCCCTGTCAGTTTCAGCATCAGCCCACAGCTCCGCTTCCATATCGTCCAAAACAACGTTGGCAAGATCGTGGCAATGCTTTTCCAAGGAGGCAGCACCGTCGGAATTTGACCGGGAAGCCAGAGGAGCAAGAACAGGATAAGCAAGAGTAGCACGCCGAACAAATGACACGTTCCCAACTCGCAGTCCCCGCGTGCAGAGCATGGCAAGGTGGAGCTTCGCAGCAGCCGAGTGCACCGATTCTTTGACAATGGTCAGCCTGGTGGGGATGTCCAAAACGAGTCCACGATATAGGATGGCATAGGCAGCTTCGAACTCAAGCCTGTAACGAGGATGGCTGGAAACAGTCTTATGTATCCGAGGCGAATGGCAACTCTGACGTGGGGCCCCGGGCCTCCAACTAACCGAAAGAGGAACATGATCAGAAGGACAACCACGAGCCGAAAAAGAGCACCATAGAGACGCCATAGGCTTGATATCTGCGAGTGCACACGAGTGACAAGTAACGCAACAGCGGTCAAGACGAGCAAGCTTCGACATAGCGGGAGGATTGCCGGAGAATTCACGCCTAGTATACATTGGCTGCCAAATTTCAATAAGAGTGGGAAGAAGACGATAGAACTGGTTGGATCGAGACGTGTCCCCGGCAGAGTTGGACGATGAGCTCGGCGCGTATCGAAATTCATCGGGTTCGACAAAATTGAACTCACCAAGGACCATGAACATGCCACCAGAGCGACGCGACAGAAGTTCGCCCTGAATTAGTTGCAAAGCACGCTCCCGAGTCGGAGAGCCCCAAGCAGGATTAATATGAATGTTGAGTATCTGAAGCTGCCCCTTGGCCGTAGAGAGCGCGACTCTGAAGATAGACCCGGCCCGAAGATCATGGCAATCTGGAACGGTAGTGCCAAAGTCCTTCGATATTATCACCACGAGCCCCCCAGCAGCATGAGACCTTCCAAAGGATCCTAGCAGATAGTGGCACGGGAAAAGTTTTCCAAGAGATACCAAGTCTTCAGAAACACCATGGGTTTCCTGGAGACAAACAACGCGGTGATAAGCTGCCAAACGTTGAACCCATCCGAATGTAGCCAATTGGCGGGCATGACTTCCAGATGTAGCTCCGAAGAGGGTCTGACAGTTCCACGATGCAGCCAAAACGTCCCCAAGAAAGACAGGAGAGTGGAGCGAGATAGGAGAGGCAGTGGCAGCGACAGATATCGAAGCCTCCCACCTTGAGTATTCTCACTGCGTCGCTGCAAGAGCAGATGATACAAAACCGTCAGCAAGCTCCTTGGTCACTCCCCATTGTTCCAAATAGGTGTATTCGGGAATCATGTCGCAATAAGGGGGTCCCATTTCTGGACATCACTTACGAAGCTGAGAAAAGAACATGCGCACGGAGATCTGTAAGGAGAAGCAATTTGCCCTTAGGGCCATTCACTCCAAGACGATACTGCTGGGACCAAGAAGAGTGAGACGAAAACTTGCCCAGGCAAGATTTCCAAAGCTTCCCCAAAATCTTCTCCTTGAAACGGTGCTCAAACCGTTTGTCGGGCATGACCCGGAGCTGGACCACTTGTTGGGATGTGGGGTCAGTCCAATTCACCTTGTTCTCCTGTGCCCGCAAGACCGGCACTTGCCTCAGATGGGCAGTCAAAACTGTACTGGCGCTCGAAGTTGAAAGCGCGAAGTCGCAAACCTGGATGGTAAACTGGATCCACGATAGGCTTGATCTGCTGGTCGAAATGGTTCTGAAACACGGTACGACTGAACATCTCAGGAAAGCCTTTCACCCACACACGTTTAGGATTGAAGCCAGCGATGGAAGAAGAACCTGGCGGAGGCTGGCTGCTCGAACGGCCCCCCAGCCGGACCACGATGATACTTAGCGGGCGGCTCGGCGGCAAACCCGGGAGCGTTGCCCGCGTCGTTCGACTCGAGGAGTTCCAGACGGCGGAATATTTTCTGAATGGATTCTGTGTGCTCTTCAAGGGTTTCCTTCACCTTCTTCAGCTCTTCCAAGCCAAGGGAGACCTTGTCGAGCTTATCATGCACCGCCTTGTCATTCCTTGTCATCTGGTCCATCAACTCTTTCTGAAACGCCTGGAAGGCCTCCAGAGACACAGGAGCACTCGACATCGCCTCAGAGGGCACGACAATCGGGAATTAAAGGGGGTACTGGTGCGATCGGGAATTTAAGGGGGTACAGCTCCTGACTGCGGCTTGAGCCAAAATGGCTTGAGCCAAGTGGCTTGAGCCAAAATGGCTTGAGCCAAAATGGTTTGATGATGATGATGATGATGATGATAATGATGATGATGATGATGATGATAATGATGATGATGATGATGATGATGGTGATGGAAGAGGGAGAAGGGGGAGGAGGAGAGGAGAGGAGGAGAACGCGGGGCGACGTCTCTCCAAAACGAGTACCCAACACCACAGGATGGTTGGGAACAAATGGGATGTGCCACATTTCTGAAATTTGCTGGCACCCCTCACGCAGATCGGCGGGGTGCACAAGCACATAGGATGTGCAACATTATTGACATTCGGTGGCACCCCTCACGCAGATCGGCGGGGTCGGGGTCCAAAAACACATGGGATGTGTTACATTTCTGACATTCGGTTGCACCCCTCACGCAGATCGGCGGGGTCAGGGTCCAACAAACACATGGGATGTGCTACATTTCTGAAATTCGCTGGCACCCCTCACGCAGATCGGCGGGGGCAGGGTCCGAAAACCCAAGGGTTCTCAACATCGTGTCTGAAATTCGGTGGCACCCCTCACGCGGATCGACAGGGTCAGGGTCCAATAACAAAAGGGTTTTGCAACATTTCTGAAATTCGGCGGCACCCCTCGCGCACATCCGTAGGGTCAGGGTCCAAAATCACAGGGGATTTGCTACATTTCTCAAATTCGGTGGCACCCCTCACGCAGATCGGCGGGGTCAGGGTCGAAAAATTATCCTGGCGAAGGTCCCAACCATATGCAGTTGTGGGTACCGTGAGTGTGAATATCTGCTTCGGTGAAGCTCCCTATGGGGCCACGAAGCGCTGCACTGGGCGGGGGGGAACGCTGTACTGTGTGGGTGGTGTGCCGAAGTGGGTTTGCATGCGGACGGTCCCACTGAGGGCTTCGGTGGGGCCCCCTATGGGGCCACGAAGCGCTCTACCGAGTGCGTGATAATGCCAAATTGGGTTTTTGGAGCGCATGCGGACGGCCCCACTGGGGGCTTCGGTGGAACCCCCATATGGGGCCACGAAGCGCTGCACTGCGCGGGTGAAAATGCCAAAATACATTTCCCGGACGCATACGGACGGTGGCACTGGGGCCTTGGGTGGAGCCCCCTTATGGGGCCACGAAGCGCTGCACTGGGTGGGTGAAAATTCCTAATTGAGTTCCCGGGGCGCATGCGGACGGTCCCACTGGGGCCTTCGGTGGGGCCCCATATGGGGCCACGAAGCGCTGCACTGCGCGGGTGAAAATGCCGAATTACACTTCCCGGACGCATTCGGACGGTGGCACTGGGGCTTTGGGTGGAGCTCCCGATGGGGCCATAATACTGGGTGTGCGGGACGCATGCGGACGGTAGCGCTCGGTGGGGTTCCCTATGGGGCCACGAAGCGCTGCACTGGGCGTGCGGGGCGCACGCGGACGGTAGTACGGGGACCTTCGGTGGGGCTCCCTATGGGGCCACGAAGCGCTGTACAGGGTGGGTGAAACGCAGGGAGGAGGGGGAGGAGGGCCACGAAACGCTGTACTGGGTGGGCGGGACGCATGCGGACGGTAGCGCTGGGACCTTCGGCGGGGTCCCCTATGGGGCCACGACGCGCTGTACTGGGTGTGCGGGGCGCATGCGGACGGTAGCACTGGGACCTTCGGCGGGGCTCCCTATGGGGCCACGAAGCGCTGTACAGGGTGGGTGAAACGCAGGGAGGAGACGGGCGTAGGGAGGGCCGCGTGTCCGCCCACCTACGGCGGCGGCGGGGCGCGGGGCGCGGCCTCCGCGCCCATCGCCAGGTCGAAGTCAGCGTGCAGGTCGGATGGGGCGGCGGTGGGGGGAGGAAGCGAGAGGGGAGCAGGAGGAACACCCGCAGTAGCAGCACTCAGGAGGGACGGACGAGAGGGGGCGATGTGGTCAGACAGGGCAGGGGTGCACACAGAGAGCGGGCGGGTGGAGAATATTCGGCCAGACTGAGAAGTAAAGATGCGAGCAGAGCGAATTGGTGAGCACCGAGGTATCTGAACAATGACGGCAGGCCTCGGCGCCGTAGACAGAATGAGCTCGGTGGTGTCGCAGCACACTGGGACTGAAGCAATGATGGGCTGGCTCGCAGCAGGGCCCGGCCACACATGCGCAGGCAACAGCCCACTC